AGTGGCCACGGATACCTGAAATATTCACAAAGGATGTTGGTGCAGAGGCAGAGTGATAAAGACGACCATAAACGCGCCGCTTTGACGGCAATTGCATTTTGCAGTTTACGCTACGCACTCAGATATCGCTTGTTATCATCGACATACACCGTCAATGATCCACCGCCCAGTCTGGTAGTCCCAGAATACGTTTCATTTTAATGGCTACAGCAAAGCACCGTTAACTGTAACCACTTATGGAACACGCGCGAACCATCGATAGTCGAACTCAATCTCCGTATCGACGCCGATGTATATATCTTTCATCGGCGTTTGGCATGGCTAACAAAGTTAAGATCAATAGACTCGCGCCGATTTAATACGACCCGTCAGACCTCGTTGGACCGAGCGCAACTTCCGACCAGTGCAACGTGTCGATATATCGCTTTATCGAATTAGATTTTTAAATTGAATTCCGTGGGAGTTTAGAAATTTTGTATTCGAGATACGATCTAAGTCGAATTGATTTTTTTCTAGTTTATATCTTCGTGATACTCTTTTTTCTTTTATATGAGAATACTGATGAGAACTGAAATTCTTCGCTCGCTGCTGCATCATTGATCGCATCCAGTAGAAAAAGCAGCTTTGCATCTGTTTGAGATTTTTTAATACAATTGGTTTATACATTTAGATCCAGTGAGGAACTAAAGACCAAGACCAATCACACTAAAGAATTTAGCAACAGTTGCAAAGCTGCTTTTTCTGCTGAACGCAGCCATTGAACTTCATTTGGTTTCACCTGCTGAAACCTTTGCGAAAGGTACGTGCGTCTGAGAGACTTGTGTAAAAGATAAAATTGCGTAAATATCTGACATGGTATTGCAGAGACATACATTGTGTTATAAGCTATGCGATTGTTCTTTAAATACTACAAACATCGTACCGACGAGGCGTGTCGATTTCAGGGCAGCTTTACATCCAACCCCATTTGAGGGAACATCGCATGCATGCTTCCCACGACCTTTCCCGTAGCAGCCGATCGCGGTTAAAGCGCGGTAACATTGCAAAGCACACCTTTGAAGTCAATCGGCCCACGTCACGGAGTTCCGAAGAAGTGTACGTCGAAGAAAGAGTAACGCTTGACGCAGTATCGTTCCGATGACGTCACAATAGATCAAGAACCCCATTACGACAAATACCTCGGCTCGCACGGCGTATGACGCAAGCGTCCATCTCTTTAACAATAAGTCGGACGCCAATGACGTCCATCAGCTAGGGTTCTATAGCCGCTACACATGTAAACCGTGCAGTCCGTAATCGCACGTAATTATTTAAATGGAGAGTATACACCGACATTAAGGTTGTTGTATTGATCGGTGATGCTTGAACGAAGCGACCGAAGACTCGCAATAGTACATTGTTCACCGTCGCTCCGGACGACGTTCAATCCTTTTTCTCGTGGTATCTCGCTGATTGCATTTTGTGCGCCACGAAGTCGCGAATTTCATGCCTCTCTTCATCGCCGACAACGTCGACGAATTGGAAAGCATCCATGATCAGTTGTTTACAAGAGTTGAACTTACCTGTGGTTTCTGGCGTATTTCTTGGTGTCCTTCTTCTATTATTTGAAGAGTTGAGTAAAGTCTATAAGTAGCCTGTCTTTTCAATAAATGAGGGTGTATCAAGTATCTATCTTTAAAATTCTACTTACAATTTATAGTGCTTCTCACGTAGTCTTGTGAGATCTGGGACGTGGATGTGTAAAATAATTATATACAGATCGATCGTTTATTAAAGCAAAACTTTATTATAGCAATAGTGAACAATGGATAACTATTAAAGATTTTTAACATGTTTTTTTTGATAAAAATAGCGATTGGATGTTTAGGTTTAGGTAATAGGTGAATATCTAAAAGGGTCTCTTATCGTACGAAATTCTTTGAACTAAAAATTATCTACGGTCGTGTTATTAACGCACATGATAATCGCACATACGTGTCGATAAGTCTGAATTTTTAGGCGGCGCGTACCGTGAATCGATCGATCGTGTGTCGCATATGATCGAGTACAACGCAATTAAAATTATATCGGCATATATATTCAGCGGAATTTCGCTTTCGTTTTCAATTCAAATGATTGCAGAAATTTACAAGACAATTCCTTATAATATAAATGATAAAAATTTAATTTTATCCCACGATAAAATAATTTTCCACATACTTTGCGTTCCGAAAAGTCACTTTCATTCTAACTGGAAAGAACTGTGCTTTCGTTGGACAAGCGCAGAATAACGCGTGTGGCCGAATTGATTTAATCGATAAACATATCGCCCGGTGCGAATAAACAGAACTTTGGCGAGGCGTTTGGAGGAAGATCGATATTCACGATTACGTTCCATAAACAAAACTGCCGATGCGCCGATGCATGCCGAGGTACGGTGGTGTTACCTCGAGCGATGCTGGATCCGTCCCTTACACCGTGCGGCTAAATTGAATTCCCCTATATCGGCTCCTACGAGCTTCAAAACGACTCACGGCGCGCTACCGCCCGGCCCTAATTTCCACCCTTGATCGCTCTGCTGTCGACAGGAACGAGCAGAATGCAAAAAAGAAGCGAACCGAAAGAACGAAGAAAAATACGGCGATGATGAAGGATGAGTTTTCCACGATACGAATGAACTATTAATCTCACGCGCGCGCGCGAGATCGCTCCAATTTTCTGCTTTAAGGCAAGATATATCCGTAAAAAAAGGGGGAAAGAAAAACGGGAGAAAAACGGCGCCGGTGACACGAGAGCGGAAAGAAAGGCGGG